GAATTCCTATAGCCTAACGCGGACGGAATATGCCACATTTTGGACGAATAAATCAAAAATAGGTAAGTTCACTTGAATCAAAATGCGATATGGACTAGTGTCTGTGAATATTAAGCTGCAAAAACACAATATATGAGTCCTGCACGTTCTGCGTGTCTGTGGAAATCAGGCGCGGACTGGCCATCGGGAGTACCGGGACAATTCCCGGTGGCTGGCAGCCGATTTGGCCCACTATTTTAATATTATTATTGTATAATTGCCTGCCAAATTTAATGAGGTATTGTGTACTCTATATGAGAACAATAAAATGGTGTTGACTTTTTAAAAAAATGTATGTGAAAAAGAAGGAAAAAAGTGTTTCTGAATGAAGTGTGAATAATTGTGTATTTTAAGAGAAAATTGTTATAATAAAGATACTGTATATTTAAAATAAAATAAAAAAATTATCTCTCTCTCCCTACCATTAAGTAACTTGTGCATTGTTTACTTACATCTTTTTGACATATCCGACCGAATTACAAGCTTTCCAGTGATGTCTGTGAGAAAGGGATATTCACTCGACAAGCTCGCGCATCTGCGCCACCGCGCGTTCAATCCACTCAGTGTGCTTTGCTCATCAGCTGGCACAAATCAGCTATACAGGCATTAATACTGAATGTTTTATATTCATTGCATACATATACTTCGTAGACATCTTTAATCTCTAATAACCCCATTCTGCTGTCTGTTGTCGGTATTTCTTTGTCTGAATATGGCACTTATCACATGCTGTGTGGTATCGGCGTTTGGTATCGGGGCATTTTAATGAGTACGAGTACAGGAGCTCAGTATCGGGCCCGATACCGATACCAATATCGTATCGGTGCATCCCTAGTCTTTACAAAATCTTTTAGTAGTCTTTAGTAACTAATTTCTCAAATTAAATGACACAACGTGATAACATAATATAAATCAATTCAAGGATCTGGAATCATTATAACATAAGAATGAGAGAACAGTTAATTCCTAGAACCAGTGTGATCATTTGTGATAAATCCTTCAGTAAAATCTTAATTATTAGGGCTAGATTACTACTCATGGCTGTTAGGGCAGCCATTTTTACATAGGCTACAGTAGAGAATATGATACAGATTGTGAAGATAGTAGAAGGTCTTGAACACTTTAACATTTTACAGTAAGTTGTCATTTGTTAACATTGTTTAATGTATTAAAGGGATAGTTGACCCAAAAATGAAAATTCTGTCATGAATTACTCACCCTCATGTTGTTCCAAACCCATAAGAACTTCATTCATCTTCAGAACACAAATTAAGATATTTTTGATTCTCTGACCCTGCATAGACAGCAAGGGTATTACCACGATCAAGGCACTGTAAAATAGTCCATGTGTCATCAGTGATTCAACAGTAATTTTAAAGGGGTCCTATTATGCTCTTTTACAAAGTCTTGATTTTGTTTTGGGGGTGTACTAGAACATGCTTCATGCTTGGTGGTTCGAAAAACGCATTATTTTTCACATAATTTACATTATTAAAATACCTTTCTCCCCCGTCTTTCAACAACAACTTTTGGGCGAATCCGGCACTGTACTCCCTCGTGTTGTGGAAGCTGTCCTCAGTAAAATGCGCAGCACACAATAGCAAATTGGGGTTATAATGCTCAGCTGTTTCCTGACATCATCTGCCTTCGGAAGCCCAAACAAGGACGTTTGGGCACGGAGGTGAAAAAAAACTGCGTTTCAGGCGGTCGCGCACCGGACGAGAAGCGCAGCGTCGCGTCGCGCCACGTCTTTAAAA